ACTAGATACATGCCCTCCTCTCGATTCTGCTTATAGTAATAGAAAGAGGATGCACACGTACAACCGCAGTTTTCCACTAGACTGCTAACTTTAAACTACTGCAGTCTAACGGTCCTACCATTGGGCAGTGTGTGGATCATCACCTTTCTATCCCAGTCGAATTGAGGTTGAGCAACCTCGCGGTAGTACATACCTAGCAACATATCGAATGGCAATTCGTCGCTGACAAGGAACGAGATTTTATGTCCCGCTTAAGTCAGGGAGCATCGGAGCAAACAAAAAATCATCTAAAAATTTTTAATCGTCAAAAACTAGCACCGTTCTGACGCTGCCAACAACAAATCCAAAGGGGAATAGCCCCGTCGGGCCCTTCGCGCCACTCTGATGTTCCCGCGCCGTCGCCGCTCGATCTCGATCCGTGAATCTCTTTGACGAAAGTCTGATACTATAACTGCTAGTGCTAGGCCCAAGGGTGGGTCTAGTTTTGACTAATCACCTAAATAAACAATAAACAATTGTTACGGAACACACCAATCTACCGAAACGTCTTCAAAATCACACGGTTGTCGAATCCGCCCTCTGTACGTACGCACCGGTCACAGGCAGGCACCCCAAGCACGGGACTTAATCTTATTAATCCTAATTTAATCGGAAATGTAAAAATCTGGTCGGCGTCAACGTCGGTTTCCATGATCATCAAAAACAAAAGAAATCACGCGCGCAGTAAGTTTGCGCGCCCACACACTCTCTACTCTAACCAACCACCTAGTCAACGTAAACCATAGACTTGCCGCGCCTCGCGCGGTATACTTAAACTTTAAACCAAAGCTATTTTCTGTCACCTGCAAAAATCAGGGCGAATACCTTTGTAAGGGTATTCGCACCGACAGCGGGGCTGAGACAACACCTGCGCAAGGATGACACGCATAACTCGAGAAATGGTCTTAACTTTTTTCATTTCGATTCCAGCCGGAATCGAACTCGGGTCTATATTTCAATAGTTCGTGAGTGCAGCATCACGACACGTGACCGTTGGCCTTAAGCTTACGGGTACAAAAAAGAAAAAAACTAAAACTAAACTAAGAATTCAGCGCCACTTGGTGTTGTATGAAGTGAAGGGGACTTGAAGTCCCAGAAGGTGCTGACGCCCGTTTTAACGAGCGATCGTTTTGCAAGGTAAGC